GACTCCATAACTTATGTTTCTCATTCAGGCTCCCCTAGAGTAAGCCTGTTAGCCCAGTGATATCATTTATTGTGTATCTCTCCAGTGTGTATCCTTCCTATCTATCTCTGTTCATGTTGGCTTAATTATTAATTTACAGGTTCGTGGTTGGTTCGTTGCTAATCTTTTTTGGCTGATTTTTATTTAATTGAATTTTAGACTTTCCCATCGATTGTTTGAATCAAAGTGCTCAGTTTCAGGTTGACATGTCTGTCAGTTTTTGTGCAGATGCTTTAACGATGTCTGGGCATGTAATTAGAGGTTAATTTGGTGGATGGTGGCTAGCAGTGAAATCCAGGATAAGGCGCATTTCGTCTTATTTGGGACTCGTCAACTGGATGTACCTGCATTCGCCAGTGAGTGATGATGTTACCACCGAGGCTCGAATCCAGAGCACTTAGGTCCGATCAATCGACGGGAAAATCTAAAATTCAATTAAATAAATAATTAATATGACCCGTTGCACAAGAGGTGACTCTCGTGGTCCAGCCGGTCAAGTGGATAACGCTTTCGCATTTGAAACTATGAACACTGGATCCGAGCCTCAGTGGGAACATCATCATCACTCACTGTGGAATGCAAGTACATTCAGATGACGAGTCGCAAATAGGACGAAATGCGCATTGTCGTGGACTTCACTGCTAATCACCATCCACTAATTAACTTCTATCCGATTTTTAGTATCTAGCCAGTGAAGATATTTGTTGATAAATGTTATACTGCATTAAAGGTCATTTACTACCATGCTTCAGTAATCATTCTCACATTCGACTACTTTAAGTGTGGACACCCTCTTACCCCAGTAGTACTTGTGTAGAAAAATATGACATTGGTTGTTGGAGACATATGATTACACAGATGTTGAAAAAGCACTTTACATAACAACCAATTGTAATATCATGAAGTGGGCGATGAGCCATGCACCTATTGCATGAAGCCTAAAAAAGCGAGACGAAAGCTTCCCAAACCTTCCTAAGTGGATGAGGTATCAGAACATTTGGTCCAGTGGGTGAAAGTCGACAGCCCAGACCATATGACTACAAGAGGATTCGTGTAAAAATCATCCCCTTCACTTATTACTATTATTATTATTATTTCCTTTAATTCCTAGAGGAACATAGCGCTTCAGTCAAATGTCTCGATTGCGTTTGGTTCTCTGCTTAAGTTTTCACCTGGCTCCACGTTTCCAAACAAGCTGTCAATTCCTCTTCATATGACCCCCTCCAAGTCACCGTCTCATTGACGGCCAACTCGCCGCTACCCATTCAACTTCCACTCGATCAATGGCTTGTCTAGTGATGTCATGTGATTGTCAGTTTTCTCAGAGTATGGTCAGCCAATCCACCTCCGTTTCTTCCTGCTTATTCGAGGCACAATTGGTTCCTGCTTGTTTGGTTCGCTCATTGATAGAGATCCCTCCCTGTTGCTGATCTTTTCTGGCCGGACATCTGATGTTGAATGGTATTGAGCGAAGACAGATAGCTGTTGATGAAGATGTGTAGTTTGTTTGAGGTGCTGTTTATGACGCGGTGCTGGCCAAGTCTCTGATCCATCGTATATGAGTATCACTGACTGACTGACTGACTTCACATTGGAGTTGAAAATCCGGATGTTATTTTCATTTTCATGGTGAGTAGTTCTGTGACCTCCTCCACACAGACTTGAGAGTAATGAAAGCTTGTCTTGCCTTCGCTCTTCACTTAGAAGATGATATATCAAACTTAATAATGAGAAGCCTCGTGATATCATCCGGGCTGAAGTAGGTAGAAGAGGCTCACTGACTGAAAGTCGAATACTTATGCCTATAAACTACACCTCATACACACAAACACAATTATGAACAATTCCATTAGTAATTTGTTAAATTATCTCCCTCTGAAATTTATCGTTTGTGGCTTGTGATCATCTACAAATTGTGTTGTAGTTTATACAGGCATATTTAATATGTTTTCAGGTACAAATACTATTAACAGAGATTCATGTACACTAAAAAGAGTTCAGAGAACCATGACATGTATAATTTCATACGAAAAATGACTTAACAAACTAAATTATTAATAAAAATAACCTAGAGATCTGATCTGTTTTCTCTTTTCCATTCCACAAAGTTTGAATGCATATTTCAAAGGACAAGACAGGAGGTTTAAAAATCCAAGGTGAAACTGCACTCTTAATTGGTTCTCTCGATGTGCTGTCGCTGTTGGAATCGACTCCGAGAAGAAGTAGTGTCTTCACCATCAACCTGCTCGTTGTTTCTGAGAATTGATAAGACACAAGCACAAATACAGATTAGAAAAGGATTAACATACGGTCAAAGCCTCCTGTCACTCAGCAAAAATCTGAAATCTTATTCATAAACTAAGTTTTGAGTGCAAACGGCGGGACAATAGTCTGCGATATATGCACTGGACATACGCTGAGGAAACCGTTTAGTAATTTCACGCTCCAGGCAGATCCATGACTGGGACCCCAATTGCAGAGTGATTTTAGGGTAGGTCAAGGGGTGGCGTAGAGAAACCAGATAAAAAAGACTGAAGAGAGTAGAGTAAAGTGGAGATATGCTCTTGTAGCCCTATGCTTTACTCGGAATTCGCTGGATTAATAATCATAATATTGTTATTATTACATTCTTTCTATTTAGTTATCCGTCTATTACATACTAAAAGTGATTGCCAGTGCCATCAATAAACACTAACAGTCTATGCCTTGATTGGACACTAGTAACTAGTATGATGTGTGTGGGTAGTGCTTTGTTTGGTGCCTGACTGAATTCTATCAGTCAGGTTTTGTAATGTGGCAACCATGCCACGTGGTAGCTCGTTATCATGGTGTACATTGATTTGACAAAGCCTAGGTCAAGCATAGCTTCCTATGCCCGATTGCCTTCAACCATCTAATATCATCAAATCAAATGTGAACTGTAGTGACGAGCTACCTAGATTGGTAGCCACATTGCAAACTCGACTGATCGAATGATGTCTTCAGCAAAAAAAAAGAACTAACCAGACAAATTACACCAGTTACTAAATAGTGTCCAATCAAAAATATCCGGCGAAGTTCAACAATAGCGTCCTAGGAGTGTTAACGCTCCAATGACCTTGAACTCATGCTAGTCGTTGGTTAACGGCATCTGTTATTATCATAGCTGAAATATCAACGCTATTCATTAATTTAGGAGGAAATTTCACCCAGATCACGTTTCTAAGTACTATTTGAACAATGCGTTAATAGCTCGTTAGGGTTAGGCTCAGGGCTATAATTAGCATTAGGGTTAGAATTACGGTTTGGATAAGGGTTATGATAAGGGTTAGGATTAAGGTTAGGTTTAGTGTTAGGGTCAGGATTAAACTTAGGGTAACGAATAGGAATAGATTTATGGTTGATGTCATTTATTTTACTTTCTTTTTATCCACGTTTTCCTGGTAAGTAGTCGGCTATCCTCCTGCTGGAAACCCTAATAATTCAACCGAGGGCTGTTTTGAGTGACTGCAAGCAGGATGAGAGAGATGAACGATTCACAAAAAGGGTTTATCTGTAGTCATCTCGGTGAATACATGTACAGAAACTAGTCTCACTTAGCAAATGATACTCCTCGTTACAATTAGGACAGATGTTTTTAAGCCATGTGAGAGAAAGATAACCTGTTTAATGCATTTTCAAGCATTTTCTTGTCAATATACATCATCTTTTGAGCAAACATTCCTCATTTTTATGATTGGTCAGCTGAAGGTCATTATTGGTGTCGGTAGCATAGCGGTTAGGACGCTCACGGATCATGCACATGGTCTGGGGTTCGATCTCCGGCCACCGAAGCAGTCCTTTACCTCACTAAGCCAGAAACAATGCTGGCAAAGAGGAAAGGTTGAGCATGAGGAGGTTAGTAACTGCATCCTGTAAAATTAAACACTGCTACAGAAACTTCAAGCCGTTAGCTTGAAACTGCTCTATGTTCCACTGGGGAACGTGAAGGGGAAAAAATGACTGGTCAGCTGAAGGTCACTCATGCGTTCGCACTTCTGGGACGCTATTGTTGAACTTTGCCAAATATCCAATACAGTCAGTCCTACAGGAGGTCAATCGTGAGCCCGAATACCTAACTCAGTGGTCGCGTCTCTGAATGCTGCACTAGGTGATGGAGGTTCGAATCTTAGAGGGTTGGTACAGGAGTTCCTTAAAGTTTTTGCAGCTTTACTCCTCGATGAGTGCCTGATGAGTGCCAACTAGCACAAAACCCAGTCAAGCAAGACTTTCTGTAACCAACTGTCCTCAACCACCTAATACACTAACAAACTATATTAGACATCTACCAGACGTATACATTCTGTATGTTTCTAAAACTCATTTATCATAGTATATGCTGAAAACCCATTATTCGTATTATTATTATTATTATTTTCCGTGTAACATATCCACCCATTTTATCCATTATTCAATAGTCGATACAAAAGCATATATATATATATGCTCTAACAACTGACGATCTAATTTACGACATTTCATTCTCATTTTCTCCAGTCAGCAGAATAATAGTAATAATAATAATAATAATGACAAGTTTAATTAATCATAAGCTTTGTATAAACTGCATATCACCCTTTACGAAACCTGTTGTGTGTTTCCAACCCTTCTAACTTCAAGCCATGTTCTTCAATTGTGAATGAATTAAAAGCTACCAATAAGGGTGCATTATTATTATTATCATTCTTCTCATTCGATATATATATATATATAAGTCACACGGTAGATCAGAAAAGCAACAAGTCAACATACAACACAACAAATTCTATATAAAATATGTTGTTGTTATTGTTCTACATACTTTTCAAGTGAAACGTAAAAAAAATTTATTTTTTTTATTCTAAAACGTCAATAATCTCACCTCTCTACGTCTATCTATTAATTTTCTCTAATATGATTGGTTAAAAGATTTGACACTTTTAATTGGTTAATTCAATATATTATAATCATTCTATTGACCTTGTCCATTTGGTACAGTGTATTGTAGATATGATTCATCATTAAATATGTGTGTGTTTTGTTTGGTTAGTTGAATAGACAGATAAAAATAAAGCATAGAAATTTTGGTCAAAAGTTCATTCTGGCATATTAAAATTAAAAAGCGTTCATTAAGAAAAACTATTTACACCAACCAATACAACAACACTGGCTAACTACTGACTGCTGACTATTTTGACAAAACAGCTTATTATTCTGGAATCATTCATCATATTTCTAAGAAATATTCTAAGAATTATTATATGCATTGGAATGAAAGGAGGCATCTATTCTTGAATAACTTTCAACAACCGTGGATGTATTATTATTGTTATTATTTACAGGTGATCATTTGATCTATCAAAACGATTACATTTTGTATTTCAACCTAACTTATGGTTTGTATTCTTTATCTGGAATTTCATTTACAATTTCTTAATTAATTAATTGATAATGTTACCAAAAAAGAAACGTTGGATGGCTGATGTTGTTCATCCTTCTCCGTCAAATCTAGTTTCATTGCCAACACCACCACCACCACCAACAACAACAATAACACTGCCAAATGTATCGAATAATGATGGTGCAAAAAAGATACACTGCTGTGATACACCTATACAAACAATGAATACAAATACAAGTACACGATCATTACCGCTTCCTATTTCATCATCATCATCGCCTCAACTACCACCATCGGGTAAAAGTTTACAAGGCGGGAATTTAATGTCTTCTTCAGATATGTATGGTATAGCTGTTTTACAGCAACAACAACAACGGCAAACAAACCATCCCCAACAACAGACCTTTAACAATCGGCCAGGATCTAATACCACTGAACATAGCCAGAGTGATAAATCTCAGACACTCACGTCTAGACAATCTAATCATTCAATGAAATCTACACCATCTGGACGTCGAAATGATGTCAATGCCAATTTAATTACAACAATATCTCAATATCCTACGGAATTATTACAACAACAACAACCTGGATTATTGTTACAAGTATTACCCCAAGAATACTTAATGAATTATGCCCAAAATTTAGCTAAACTTAATGCTAATAAAAATTCTTCTAGTGAAACAGTGCATACATCAGTAAATGAATGTTCTGTAATACCATCTAAGCTGAATAAGATAGATAATACATCGCTGGCAAATATTACTGCTTATTCCCAGGGTTTATTACATCAATCATCTGATACTCAGGGACGTCAAACGCATACAACGTTAACAACAACATCAACAAATATGTCAAATCCATCACTCAGGATAAAATGTTCTGAAAATTCTAAAATTCAACGAACACCACCCCAACCAACACTCAGGTCTAGTCCTATGCATAATTCACCAGTATTTCAATATCCAGCACCAACAAATTCCCAGAGGTTTTCTCCTCCACCACCGCCTCCTGGTCCTGCTCCTTCTCAACCTTCTCAAACAACATCACATCCACCTCCTCCTCGTCGTCTAAGTGGTGGTTCTGGTGATCAAGTAAGGCATATGAAACCAATGATGACACAAAGTCATCATCAGCATCATCATCAACTCCCTCCAGGTTTTGATTTATCCTCAATCTCAGCGGTTGCTAGAGCAGCTAGTATGTTATCACCATCACAGCTGGAAGCTGCAGCTGCCTTATTATCACAATGGGATAATGCTAATCATTTGTCATTGTTAGCTAATAATCCTTCATATAGGAATTTATGTAATATTGCTGAATTATCCGGAAATAATAAACAACAACTGGCTAACAGTTCTTCTTCTAGTGTTGTTAGCTATGCTTCATCGATTCCCTCTGAAATAAATCCTGTGTCTAGTAGTTGTTATATGGACAATAATCCTATTCAAGGTGTAAACAGATCTGGGTAAGTGGTTCAAAGAACGATTTGTATTTCTTTTCTGTTCCTTATGTCACTATTTCAGTGAAAATTTTAATCAAGTGTTAGTTTGTAGAGATTTTGATTGATTGCTTACAGGATTTCATCATGAGCTGACATTGTTTAGAAAACCATTGGAAAACCAGTGGGGAGTACTTGACAGCTGTCTCATCCTAGTTTGGGACTCTTCAGCGGTACGCACCCACCGGGATTCGAACCCAGGACCTTCTGGTTACAAGGCTAATTAGCTCGTATACCATTAAGCCACTGGGACCCGATCCAGTGGCTGATAAATTCTAACTTCTGCCAATTCACGACATAGCGCGACCGCTAGCCAATGTCTTCATTGGCGAGTATTTATCCTCACACCCGCCTGCTGCACCCTACTCGTCACGACTTCCCACTAGAACCCACCCAGGTAACTACCTACCTGAATAGGGCTAGTCGCTAGTGAGCATCTCATTGATATTCAAGTGTTGGTTTGTAGGGATTCGGTTGATTGAATGGAGGATTTCATCATGAGCTGACATCAGTTAGAGAACCACTGGAATTTAAAAAAAAATAATTTTTTAGACATGGATTTGAATTGATTTCAATATAGATTTCGTCATCAATCGACATCAGTTAAAGGGACTCATTGAAAAAATGGGACAGTTGCATTATTCTGTAAAAGTTATTACGGCTTAGGGTAGACTTCAATTCTAAACGCTCTTACAAAACTTCTTCATCGTTTTATGACCTTAGCTGTACTCTGCTTAACGTGCAAATACTGACGAACGGTATCAAGGTAAAAAGACTTGAAATGACAAGTGTATTTGGGACAGTTATATTTTACACAAACGAAATATGAAATTCGATAAATAAAGAGGTTGTACAACTTATCTGCTGACGTCACTGGTGGTAGGCTCGGAGAGTGTGCTAAATGAATGCACAACTGGAGAACGAACCAACGAACGTACGGAAGTCACCACTCAAAAGACAAAAGGTGTGCCAAACGATGGGTGAGCGAGTTTAAACAAAAGTTCAAGGGTCCAATGTGCACTACAGTTCCCTTTGAGAACTCTGTAACAGTGCACACCCCTGTGCTCCATCTGGTCAATAAGTTTGGCTTTGTAGTCTGAGGGTCTTATGGAGCGAATGCCCGGTGGTAGAGTTGTAGGTGGTAGACACTATGGAAGAAGAGTCTCATAAGCGGACGAAACAACAACTTTCCAGTCCTTCTTTGTTCTCAATGATCTCTAACTGATGTAGGTTCGTGATGAAATACTTTTTCTTATTAATGATACTTGGGCAACAGAATTTTGCTTTGCATAGATTATACACATTATTTATATGAACAATTGTGTATGCCTTATCCGGTTCACTCCAGTACATTCCATTGAAGCTGTCGGCTTTCGACATATCCTTTATTATGGATACCACGGGCCTAGTTACAATTATGTAAGGGGAGAACAAAAAACAGCTGCTCAATAATAAGGTTCTTTTTTAAAAAAATTCGTCTGCCCATGATTAGTTGACAACATGGAGAATTCCTGTCGCGTCGTAAATCGTTGACTGTGAGACATTGTCATTCCACGTGGAAGACATGAAAAGTCTGGTTAACTGTCTTTGATTATAGGTCTCTGTGTTGGTTGGTCACCTGTGTTAATTGGCATAATCAGATGAGTAATATTGAGGTTAGGCGTTGACTGTTAGGTAAGGAGGGTGTTAATCGACGAGATGTCTAGGATATGTGTGTTATGCAAAGTTAACTGACATAAGAGTAGTTTGGAGAAAAGTTAATGGTGGATTATCATTCTATGATATCTTTAACAGTTTGTTTGTTTGAGGCGGCTATGTCGGTAGGTAGGTAGGTGTAGACCAGCTGACTGAGGTCCTCAGGATTCTAAGAGTTAGTGACTAGAGGTTATTGCTTGTATTATGACTCAAAATGGTTCTAAATGACTCCATTATGGATAAGATTTTATTTTGATAAATCACACAGTGTTTGTAATACAGTAATGTTGACTGATGACCATGTTTCGAGCACAAACTATCGCTCATAACCATATCAAGTTACCCACACAACTTTTTTACTTTATTTGTATACATGTGTGGAATCGATTAGATATTAGATTAAAATTCAATATGAGATAATGTACATTCAGAAATAATAATAATACGAGTGTTATTGATCAATTACAGTTAGATGGGAAATAAAACGAGTGTTTTTATAGTCAGAATAAGTAACTTGTTAGAATGTTGTGATGTACGTGAATTGAATTGAAATAGGATTTTGCGATTATTTATTATCCTCCTCTGATTTGACTGACTGACTGACTGGTGGTAATAATATCTTCCATGCATATCTCTGGTATTTGCATTGAGTCACTTCTATCGTGCATGTGTTGTGTTGGGTGTAGACTCAATGAACCAGTCAGGATTCAGTAATCAATCTCTCTCTCCACTTACATTGATTACTTATTAGAATCTTAACCCTCCTGCACCCACCCTATTGTGTGGTTGTGTGTTAATGTGTGAAGTGCAAAAGCTGAGCTTTTTTCTAAATTACTAGTTTTTTCAGGGTCAACCATTCTTCCCTTGGCTAAATTCTTATGTTCTGACAATCTGATTACTCCCGATCTACTAGTTTGACCTATGTAGTCGACTTAACTCACAGTGACTGCAGGGTATTTTGTAAATTATATTATTTTGTCTAATTGGATCAACTGGGTCCTTTAACCTACAGAGCTTGTTCTACCTGAGTGAGTTTGTATGTTTGAATGTCACCTTAATTCCTACTTTATTAAGAATCCTACGTAGGGAGGGTCTCAGATGTCCCCTCCTCATATGGTTTAACAGTGGATGACTTATATCCTTTCGCATTTATGTTATCATTACTAGTGCGTCGGTGGCACAGTGGTTACGACTCTCGTCGACCATGCACATGGTCCGAGGTTCGATCCCCTGCTGACAACGCACACCTATATCTATTTATGGTTGGCCTGAAAAATTTGGGCTACCGATATCACATGCTGAAAATTCCATACTTGTACCAAAAATACAGTGTGGAATCAAGCTGTAATAAAAAAAAATTAATTTTTATTCTCTTTGGCCTTTACTGATCTTCCTAATGAATTTTAAAGGATGTTCTGAATGCGCACAGATGAATTCACTCTTTGTGTTCTGGCACACTCATTATAAACCGTGTTGTTTTTTCCATGGTGACTATTCCTTCCCTCGCTCACATTTCTGCTTTGTCTTCCTTTGTGTGTGCTACATGGTGGAGTGTAGTAACTCGAACTATTGCATTTGCTTACAAAGTTCTATGTTGAAACTAGTCAGATAGTTACAGTAGTTCTGTATGGCTTATTATTATTTATACTTTCACTTACAAAAGCTTGTGTAAAAAATCTGTTGCTAAGCTTAAAGACATTATAGTTAAGAGAAAACAATTGACGAGTTTTCAAACAGGCTAAAGGATTTTTTTTCTCTTTTTTTTATTGAATCATTCTGTCAATTTTATCGTGCAGTTGAGCAATTATTAACATTTCACTTCTGGTTTTTTTCCATACTTCTCATCATAACTATCGATGCAGACTGTACTCATTGCCTTTGTTGATTGTTATTCAAGTCTGTGTACTCATGAAACAAGAAAAACTGAGAATATCCGAGGTAGTCACATTCGAGTTAAACATTTGCTTAGTTAATTTTTTTTCTTTCCTTCGCGTTCCCAGTGGAACATAGTGCGGCTTCAAGCTAGTGGCTTGAAGTTTCTGTAGCAGTGGTGATTATTTTTACAGGATGGAGTTGCTAACCAGCCTCATGCCCAACCTTTCCTCTTTACCAGGATTATTTCTGGCTTAGCGAGGTTTGTGGAGTGCGTCCTGTGGCCGGGGATCGAACCCCAAACCATGTGCATGGTCGGCAAGCGTCCTAACCACTGTGCCACCGACGTACTTAGTTAATATATATTAGGTTAATTATTTTAACCATAGGTTTATTCTGATGCTGTGTTAGGTAGATAGGTGTATAACACCTTTACTGGTTCACTCACGATATAGCGCAACCGCTAGCCAATGTCTTCATTGGCGAGTATTTGTCCTCACACCCGATCTGCTGCACCCTACTCGTCACGACTTCCCACTAGAACCCACCCAGGTAACTACCTACCTGAATAGGGCCAGTCGCCAGTGAGCATCTCATTGATATTCAAGTATTGGTTTGTAGGGATTCGGTTGATTGAATGGAGGATTTCATCATGAGCTGACATTGGAAAAACAGTTGGAGTACTTGACAGCTGTTTCGTCAGCCTAGTTTGGGACTCTTCAGCACAGTATGCACTCACCACACAGGGAGTTCCAACCCAGGACCTTCTGGTTATAAGGCTAGCGAGATTGTAGGACATTCAGGAGCCACTGGGACCCGATCCAATGGCGAGCCAGTCCATGAATTCTAACTTCCACCAATTCACGTAATAGAGCAACCGCTAGCCAATGTCTTCGGTGGCAAGTATTTATCCTCACACCCGACCTTTAGCTGATTAATTAAGTTTATTCATGTGATAATCCTAGATTCTGGCAGAATACTTTAATCTTAAAACATGCAACATTTTTCGATTGAATATCATTATTCATTGTCAGCAAAATTTAAATCCTTGTACAATTATTCCGATAAAAAAACAAACTAAAATTAGTATCGATGATCAACTTTAAGATTTTGTTTATCATCTCCTACCTCTTTAAAACAAGCAATAAAGGTTAAAATAAAGCAGGATGATTTAATGAATTCATCAGATTTTGGTAGAACTCGTCATCTACTGAATACTCTTCATACGCGGATATATATACACTGGTGAAATTACTTTGGGAGATATAAGACTGATAAGTAAACAAACTACATTGATGAATTTGTTATGCAGAAAGACAGGTTGGAATGTTTTCCAGGTCATGTTTAAATAGATTAAGGGGAAAGGGAGTATGAGAGATCAAAATTAAGATAAATTGCAT